CTCCTCCCTTTGCAAGGGGATATAATGTGTATTAACTGTTCACGTGACATCCAACCCTCTCACTACAACGGCTGTCTCATAGCCGCCTGTCTTCCGTAGTATAGTGGTCAGTATGCAATCTTGTCAAGTACAGTTCGCTTGAGACCCGGGTTCAATTCCCGGCGGGAGAGACGCCAGGCAATTAATACCTTGTCATTTTTTTAATTTTTTTTTTTGCACTTTTTCTTTAGTAATGATACTACAATGTCTCTTTTCTTTTGCTCTTTGCAACTTGGTTGTACTGTTTACTTACACACTGTTTAACATCAATCAACCTATTATACTTGATCTCCTTCTTTCTCATCTTCGAAATTAACAAATGAACTCCTCTTTGCTGCCAACTCTTCCAAGCTCTGTCCACTCATGATATCAAATCCTGCAACATCAGAGCCAACCTCTTTCATGAACCAGGCGCGCAGCTCAACTGCAACAAGTGAATCAACTCCATAACTGTGAAGAAGCTTCGATACATCGATATCTCTTTCGCTTGAAGATAGGGCCTTGCAGAGCTTCTGAACAATAGCTGCGCTAACGATCTTGGCTGCGTCAGCTAGCGATGTCGCCGCTGGGAGTAGCGTGGAACATGAGGTCCCTGAACCTTCACCGTCGCCTTCCCCTTCGTTATCGCCTTCGCCCCGAATCTGGTATAAATGCTTGAAGAGAGGATCAGTCATCCAGGCTGGTTCTGGGATGCCCTTAATGCGAAGAGTAGCTGGCGCTTCAAGACCAACTGCAATCTGAGCAAGAGAGGAAGCTTGCAATTGTTGGCTGGCGTTGATAGAGTACTTTCCAGTCGGGTCGCATAGCATGTCGAGTAGGGCAAGGAACTCGTCCTCTCGCATAGCATTGAAACCTTCTTGACGGAGATTAGCCATGCTTTCTTGATTCTCAACAGCGAAGCCGACAGAAAGAATCATGCCCAAGTCGACGGCTACACCTGGGAGCCCCAAAGCAACGCGGCGGCGAGCTAAGGAATCCTGGTAGGTATTCCCTACACAGTAATTGGATTGGCCACGGTTACCGACGACACCAGAGGCAGAGGAGAGATGGATGAAGAATTCTAGGTTCTGAGGAAGAAGCTCGTGCAGGTTTCGCGAGGCAACCACCTTGGGGCGTACGGCAACGTAGTATTCTTCTTCAGACATGTTGGAGAATATGCTATCCTTGAGGACCATGGAGCCTTGAATACAGCCCTTGGTAGGTGGCATCGTTTTGGCGCAATCATTGAGGACTCTTTCCAGAGCTATCCGGTCAGAAACGTCACATTGAGGTGCAGTCGCTGTCACTCCAGCCGCTGCGAGCTCCTTCATGAGTTCTTGAGCTGCAGGTCGCGTGGTTCCAGAACGAGAGAGGAGAATGAGACGTGGCAGATGATGTGCGGAGGATAATTCATCATCTCGTAAACGGCCAGCCAGTACGTATTGTTTAGTCATAGTTAGAAATAGGTCTTATATAAACTTCTTCACACAATTAACCGGTGTCAAGTTGTCAGCCACTAACAATGCAGATTGAGTTTATCTAAGCCAAACACGTGGGTCTTATAAAGGTTTGATCACAAGTCTTTCATGTTACGATTCTGGTTGACTGTGCATCTGTCATTGAGCAGCGTGTTGGCTCAAGCCATCAATACGATCTGGTGAGACTGGGTGACTTTACTGCATTTTAATCATCGGGGTAGATCTTACCATTACGGCACTTAAAAACTCAAGTGACACAAACGGTACAAATCTTTGTATGGAGAACATATTGAGGCTAGCAGTGATTCTAGCAGAAATAACTAAATATCTTCCTCCTTATTTGCGATTGTCGCAGCACCTCCACCTTCCGCTTCAGCAACGATTTTTGTCCGCAAAACCTTGCCAGTCTGGTCGGTGTATATGTTGCAGTACGCACTGAGTCCATGATAAGGTGCATATGTGTACTGCAGCTCATACTCCACCCCTTCATCTCCAGTAATTGTCTTGTTATGGCCTGTGAACTTCATGTCTTTGTTGTAATAGCCAACCTCTTTACGACGCTTCTCAGCTCCCTTGTTGTTGAGGTAGATGTCATAGAGAAAGCCGTCTTGTGTCAAGACACGGTTTCTGTTTGCTGAGCCTGAAAAATCGTTGACCGAGTAGAGAATGTTGTTTTCGAGACGGACAGTGAGATCTCTCTTTTCCAAGGTCTCAGCATCTTCGTCAGAGACACTACCTCCACTACTTCCACTGACGACATCGCCTACTTCATCTGCGACATCTTTGACAGTATCACCCAGAGTGGCGATAATCGGGTTCAAGTCGATACTCTCAAGAACATCATCGACCATGCGCAGGATATTTCCAAGACGAGCCTCAAGCTCGACCTTGGCCGTGACGTTGTAAATGCCAAGCTTCACACGATCAATGCCGAGGTCGACACCAGCGTTGAAGTTGAGCAGATTGAGAACCTTTGCGTCCAGGTTGATTTTGGCAGTGATGTTCTGCACCTCAATAGAGATCTCGCCTACTGATACGTTGGCATTGAGGTAGACGTCAGGCTCTTCGTTGAGAGGTGCAACACCGCTGTTGGTATTTTCTGTCTCGTAAATGGCGGACTCATCATCACCTCGGCGGTTCAGACGATAGCCATAGTAACCGTCGCCTTTTGCCTTTGCAGCAGCAGAGCTTGCGAACGTGGCTAAAGCCAAAGCGCCGAATAACGAATAATGTCTCATTGCAGAACTAAATTTGCTGACGATGGAAAGAGTGTGAAAATGATAAACAGAGAAAGGCGTAAAGACGAAGACAGGACGCCCTCCAGAAGGGCATACCGCATAGAATAGAGAAAATCGAAGCGACCCTCCTTCACGGAGCACGCCGAACAAGCTTGTATTTCCAGGTATCCCTGCTAAGCATCGTGGTATGATATTGGCCAATTTACTATGGATGAATGGCACATATAGACGGTAAACGAACTTGAAACGGTAGCATTGCCGGCTAAAAAGATCCGGCCCTGATTTCCAGCCTCCAACGTTTCATTGACGCAGGGGAAATCACATCTAGTGGAGCATATCCAGCGTATTAGAAGCCTTAGAGGGCTGTATTTCCGAACGACCCCGGTAACAATGTCAATGCATGAGTGAAATCTCGATCGAT